TCAGCGCTCTCCCCGGTATACCTCCCACACCAGCCCTCACAACGTATTCGGTGCTGCAAGGGTGCATCCATGAATCATCCGCTCCATACCTTAGCTACTATAAGACTGTGGGAATGCACTTTACCCCCTCAGCACCCTCAAGGAGATCTGCAGCTAAGTTCGGTCTGAATACAGGAGTCAGAAGCAAGAACCTCGACTGGCCATTATGTGTGCCCAGGATCAGACGTGAGAATACTCGTCCAAAACAGATGCTTAATAAGGAAAAAGGGATCGAGCACAGTCTCGTAGGGAGTAAGTAAAGCGTAGTGTATTGTCAGTGGAACACGAAAATGTGATAGATGCCAAACGCATATATCTATTGTGGAAAAGTTAAAGATGCTTCTGACCAATGTTTGCACATTTCATTTACAAAGCAGGAGGTTTTCATTACCGATGAAAACGTAGACAAAAGTTATAACGCGGTCGAGTTCGCTTTCCATGGCATCGGCATAGCGTCTGAAGACTTCCCATTAGGTAGAACACATTGAAGGGGATGAGTACTTGTACTTTGGCTTGCATGGCGGAAGCAAAGTGGTTGCTCAACTGATCGCCATTCATACAGGTAGTTACGGAAACAAGGTGTTGCACATTTGCACTACTAAAATCATTTTGCCTGGAAAATCCTCATTCAACAGCACAAAATGACAAAACTGACGATTTGAGCTCATTACTTCGCTATACGCCAACTGAACAAGTGCACAGAGAAGATCTTCTAAACGCTTTACTTCCTTCCTGCACCACCGACACTATCTGGCCAAGCATGACTCTGGAAGTCGTGGAAGAAGCGGCCCGTCACCTCCATTTTCACCACACTTTCATTAATGCTAATATCAAGAAAGTGTGACAGTAGGGACATATGCTAGAAGTTGGTGTTCTCCATCACATTGTATCCTATCAGACCCTCCAACTACGTAAATAAAATTGTCAGCTAGTTGTTAATGGGATGGCAATTTCGGTATTCGGACTAATGTCCTTATGAAATTCTGCGCTATCATTAGGGTTAAAATGGTTTTCTCCGAATGCCACATTTTATCTTGAGACATAATGTCTTGGTCTGACTTTTGTAAAGCAATTCACTGCAAAATCGGTGAGACGCTTTGAGTGCGTAGAAGGCTTGTCATACTTTGTTGGTGTGGACAACATGAGTTGGCCTGAGGGACTTGCTTTAGTGGGAGATGCTGATGCTGATGTGCTGCTCCGAGTTGAGTGCCTCCCATCACGATGGTATAAATCAAAAACCTTCAAAATCTTTAAATCTTCCTTCCGGCGTTTTATACGAAGGAAAAATCTATTAATTAAAGTATCAACTTGCTGCTATAAAAGTCTCTGGTTCTCTCAATTCTCTTTGAACAAAAATAACTCATCTGCCCATCCAATTGACTTTCCATTCTCATTCATTTGGGCTCATAATACAAAGCCTATGAGTAGTATGGAACGCCTTCTTTCACCTTCCACAATGAGAACATTAAGATTTTTACCAAAAGACAAGCTAAAATGTTATGATGGAGGCGAATTTATCAGCAGTCTTGTAGGGGAAACAAATGAATTAGTTGATGGTCCTTGCCTGTTTCAGGTAACTCTAAGTTCAACCGACGAAAGAATTCGCAAGGCCGAAGATGGACGAGAATTTGTTTTTGTACAGCGTTTTGCCCACAACATTGCAGCAGCCATCCGTGAAAACGCCTCTACAAATGTCACAACTCAAAGCCAACGTTTGCCTTCACTGGCTCTCATGGTTGGTGCCGAGTTCCAGGACTATTATTGGCATACCATTCTTCATGGAGTGGCAGAAATTAACGTGGAAACAGTCCTGGTCAAAGATGATGAAATTCGTGAGTTTGTCTATCCGTTGAACATCCCTTCCACAACCGTTATTTACTCTCTATTTGTGGTAACTCTCAAAATAAAGAGAGCTATTTATAGAAGGAGAATTTATCCTTCTAGTATTCGTGAAGTGTTTTCAAGTTAAACAAACTTAATGCCCAAGCAGCCTTCAAATCGAAGTCTTCGTTGGATACAGAGTTTGGTTAGCATCTTTTGGTCACCTATTCCTTCAGAATGTGGTGACTCCTTGCTAGATGAGGCTTTGCTCTTCTCAATCTATCTTATACTTCAGTGTGCATATCTCTTCTGGTCCCCTTTCATTGATGGTAGCGTTAACCTCTCCCTGAGTGCAAGCCAAGATTTGACGATCTTCTGTGAGGAAACCTTGGACTCTTAGGGATTTATATGCTAACACAAACTAGCGACGGATAGAATTTCAATCGCTGTGCTTATGAGAGGACAATATAAAGTTACTTGGTTTACGCCTCTCTCGTGCAGCCTATAACCCGCTACTCGTGCCACTGGCGTGTTGTCTGGTTGTGGCGGTGGGTGCCCTCTGCACCTGCATTATCTGTGTCTGTGCCCACCGAAAGCACCAGGAGTTGATTGAAAAACATGCAGCTATCACCAAGCCGCCACCCACCACCTCTGCTACCGTCGCCTCCACCGCGCCAGGTGCAACTCCCGCTCCGCAGACAGCGACGACTCACTACTACCAACCCACAGTCGTCTTTCCAAACCCCACCCAGCAGCAACAACAGAGGAGTGTCAGATAGGGTTGAGGCGCCATCTTGTACAGGCCTGACTTTTTATTTCAATAGTGCTGTTTCTTTATCTGTTTGTACAGTTTCTTTTGTTTGAAATGTTACTTAGGAATAATACTACTAATTTGCCGTTATTTGTTTAACAAAATCGAAACATGTAGAATTGATTTGGACATCGTATCGTTACAGAAATAGTTCTTTGAAATACCACTTCTTTTCCATTAAATCAAACTACAGCCTTCACTTTGTGTCCTTGTACTTGGAGACACAGCGATTCTGAGCCCAGAGGCGAAAGTAATGTAAAGAATGCCGAATGGTCTTGACTTCCAGCCTTTTCATCAAGCTACTCCTCCTACTCGGACCTTGTCCAAGGGGAATACTGAAAACCTTAAGAGTGATCAGCCATCATTCATTTGGTTGTGGTATAATAGACTGATATTAAGAGCTGTGATCCCAAAAGAACACACCCATTCGCTTGTTTGTAAAGTTACGATTGATAGATAAACTTTGACAATTCAGAAGATTCAGGCTTCTACTCAGCTCTCTATTAACCAGAGATGCACCAACCCGTAAATACTCTCCACCAATAAAATCCAGCCTCGACTTTCAGCTTCCGTAACATTTCTACGACAATCCTTGCGCGAATGGAAGTCTGCTATTTTGCGTTTTCATTTGACTTACTAGTTAAACGTCTTGCCTATTTCCTACACGAACAAGTAATCGGCTAATGGAAATGGCATGCAGGAACGCACATCGTTCGAACACAATGGAAGGGCCTAATTGTAATCGCTATTTGATCCTCACATCACTTACAATTGACAGAAGTAATGTGCCCCTCTAGAAAGGGAGGAATGGTGCTGAGTCACTGAGAGGCAACTCATCGGTCGCTGTATTCAGCCGCTTA